CTCTAATTTGCTCTCAACAGATTCCTTTTCTTTATCATCAGTGAACGACCATGACTTCACAGGAAAAACAACGGAGTAATATCTTGTTATATCTTAAAATCATTTCAGCATAAGTAAGTCAATAAATCAATTAAGATGCAAGGGTTACTGATTTTGAAAGATTATGAGATAATGTAGAGAGAGAACAATAAAAGGTCAAGAATTAAGAAGACATAAGATAATGATTGACATTGCATTTAATTTTTTGAAGATCAAAGTTGACTGGAAATCAAGAAGCCGAAAGAGAGTTCCACAAGAGAGAAGTTCGATAGAATAAACTGTTAGTATAGAAGTTACGGTTACATTTAGCTAGTTCAACTCTAAGGTGGTGAGAGCTTGCTGCTAATCACTGCGCTGAAATCCATAAATTCTTAGTAACATAGCGCAGAATTCATCGGAACAATTACCATCAAAGTATTTATAGAAAAGGTAAAGGGAAGCTAAAGTACGGCGGTGAAAAAGTGACTGAAGCCAAGACACCTGACCATCTTGAAAGCTTTCTGTAGAAGGGCGGCTTTGAGGCTTTCCTATACACACACACACACACACACACACACACACACACACACACACACACACACACACATTTGACACACACACACACACATATATATATATATATATATACACATGTATTTATATGCAAATATATTCACTAATATATATATATAAAATATATATATACATATGCTAATGCACACACAAAGTTACACATATATATATATATATATATGTATGTGTGTGTGTGTGTGTTTTGTCTGTCTCAAACAAACATTGTATGTAAAACTTCCAGCTACAAAAGTGTGTTCTTCTCACTGTGAATTAAAAAAAATAAAAAAAAACTCTGTGAAATTATGCACGTATTATATATATATGTGTGTGTGTGTGTGTAGTGGGAGAGTGAGAGAGGACGAGATAGACAGGCATAGATAGAGAGTTCTGAGAATGAACAGAAACAAACTCGCCGGTGTGAGTAGCCTCCCTTTATATTTTAATTGCAGAAATCTGCCGCCTTCTCCCAAAAGTGATTGTTCACTTCGTAGTCTATATTTGTTTGAGTATTAACCATAACATTGAGTACCTGAAGATCTAGATGCCGGTGAGTGCCATCGAGTAAACGGCTCCAAATTCCCCAGAGGTGTAATTATCCCAGTGTGTGTTCTAACAAAACATATTCTTGCAGAAAAAAATAAAACAAAAAGAAACAAACAAAAAACCGCCGATGTTGAACGTGGAGGGATTGAAATCGGCTGGAACGCCAACAGAAGCAATTATGTGAGTGAATAGAAGTTGAAAATAGAATAAGCTTAGGAAGAATGCATTTTTCTGCTTCGATTACAGTTTATGGCCAGCGATAATAAGGGGGAAAGAAAAAGAAAAATCCGTTTCAACCATTAAAAAAAATTAGATATTTAAACAAAAACAAAAACAAGAATAAAGAGCTAGAGGTAATAGAAAAAAATAATAAGCACGTTAGAAAGGAAGAAAAAAATGAGGAAGAAATAGGAACTCCAGAGCCTGAGTCGAAAATAATGTGAAGGGGAGGAGGTGTCCTGTTAAAGGATGAGGCTGACAATTTGAATAAAAAATGTTTTTATGTGAACTGGTGACAAGACGGAAAAGAATATGTTAAGAAAATGGAGAAGACAAGAAAAATCGAAAGACGAAGTGAAAAAGTGAAAACATTGAAACGTTTCATTGAAGAGAGATATAGAGAAGAAATGAATTGAAAAAATGTTGAAGAATTTGATTAAAAAACGAAGAAAAATTTGCTTAGCGTTAAAAACACGAGAAAAAGTGACACTGTTAACGTTATCTGAAAAAAGAAAGAAAGAAAAAGAAGAAAAAAAAAATAAAGAAAAAAATCAAAGACTGGAGAAAAAAAGCAATAAGAAATTTTAAGAAAGAAAAGAAAGAAATCAAAGAAAAAGAAAGAAAAAAAAAAAAGACTGGGAGAGAAAAAAAAGAGAAAAAAAAAAAAAGAAAGAAAAGAAAAGAAAAGAAAGAAAGAAGAAAGAAAAGAAAATCAAAATGACGAGAAAAAAAAGCAAAAGAAAATAAATAAAAAAAAAAGAAAGAAAAAAAGAAAGAAATAAAGAAATAATGTTGAAAAAAAAAGAAAAAGAAAGAAAGAAATCAAAGACTGGAGAGAAAAAAAGCAATAAGAAAGAAAGAAAGAAAGAAAGATGTCAAATTTGAAAAGAAAGAAAGAAAAAAGAAAAAAATGGAATCAAATAAAAAGAAAAAAAAGCAATAAGAAAATGAAGAAAAAAGAAAAAAGAAAGAAAGAAAGAAATATAAATGAAAGAAAGAAAAAGAAAAAAAGAAAAAAAAAAAGACTGGAGAGTAAAAAAGAAATAAGAAAGAAAACTTTTTATCAAATGAAAGAAAGAAAGAAAGAAAAAAAAAAAAAAAAAAAAATAAGAAAGAAAAGAAAAAAAGAAATAAGAAAGAAAGAAAAAAAAATAAATTTTGAAAAATAGAAATATATATGAAGAAAGAAAGAAAAAAGAAAGAAAGAAAGAAAGAAAGAAAGAAAATGAAAAAAGAAAGAAAAATAAGAAAAAAAGAAAGAATTTAAAAATAAAAAAGACTGGAGAAAAAAGCAATAAGAAAAAAAGAAATAAAAAAAAGAAAAAAAGAAAAAAAAAAAGAAAGAAAAAAAAGAAGAAAGAAAGAAAGACCAAAGAAAAAAAGCTTGAATAAAAAAAAAAGAAAGAAAAAGAAAGAAAAGAAAATTTTGAAAAAGAAATGAAGCAAAAATTCTAAGGGAAATCAAAGACTGGAAGAAAAAGCAATAAGAAAAAAGAAAAAAAAAAAAGAAGAAAAAAATCGAAAGAAATACTGGCCAAATCAAAGAGAAAAAAGAAAAAAAGCAATAAAGAAAGAAAGAAAAAAGAAAGAAAGAAATAAAGATTCAAAATACATAAAAAAGCAAGAAAAAAAAGAAAGAAAGAAAGAAAGAAAGAAATCAAAGACTGGAAAGAAAAAAAGCAATAAGAAAGAAAGAAAGAAAGAAAGAAAGAAAGAAAGAAAGAAAGAAAGAAATCAAAGACGAGAGAAAAAAGCAATAAGAAATAAATAAATAAATAAATAAATAAAGAAAGAAAGAAAGAAAGAAAGAAAGAAAGAAAGAGATGGAGAAAATGAATCAAGAAAGAAAGAAAGAATTGGAGAAGTAGAGAAAGAAGAAAGGATTGAAAACAGAAGGAAAATGAAAATAAGGGATAGAGAAAAGAAACAAATAAACAAATGAAAACATTACGAAATATAGAAAAGGATGAAGGAAATAATAATAATAATAATAATAATAATAATAATAATAATAATACAACAATTGCCTTTCAAAGATACCTACAAACTGCAGAAGACTGGATGATGATCTGTGTCAAAGAACATGAAAGTAGTAAGCGACTTTATTCAGTAATAAATGAAGCCAACATATTCAAAATGGAGTTTTAAATGGGTGAAGAAATGCAAGTAAAGCACAATATACTGACCGAAGTTGCGAAATACTTAAAAAAAGAAAGCAAAAGCAAATGCAACCAACCAAATATAGAAACGATAGCAAGATAAACCGATTCGTTGTCAATACTCTGCCCGTACTAAACAAGCTGATATAGACAAACCCTATACTCATCAGTGGCTACGTAGCGCAGGGCTAAAAGCTGAAACCGAAGGTTTTATTCTTGCTGAACAGGACCAATGCTTGTTAACTAGAAATTACCAAGAGAACATACTGAAAAATTGGGTTGTTCCAAAATGCAGATTCTGTGATAAATATCCAGAAACAATTGACCATCTTGTACCCGGTTGGATGGTATTGACACCCACTGAATATAAAACATAGCATGGCAGAATGGACTAATATCTACACTGGAAAATCTGCAACTTCTACGGAAGGAAACTGAAAGAAATTGGTATGAATACCACCTAGACCCGGTTATGGAGATTGAACCTGTAACAATTTTATGGGACTACACAATACACAGAGACAGAACAATCAAAGCCAACCGCCATGACATCGTTATTGGAGAACGCAAACAAAAACATTGCCTCCTTATTGATATGGTAATCAAGACTGCAATGTATCTTTGAAGATCTTCAAAAAAGCTATCAAAATAAAAGGACATTGAAATCGAAATCTCAAAAAATGTGGCACATGCGAACATCCAAGAATTCCTGTTGCAGTTTAGAGCCCACATTGGAAAACGAAGGGAAGGGATTCCTGTAAAATATGTGGTGGTTTTGTTGTTTACAGCCCAAATTGCTCAGTGGAAAATGTTATAATGCCATTTCTGACCTAAGGTCTCTGGTCGGGACCCGGAAAAAAATGACTATGGACCAGAAACCAAAGGAAATAATAATAATAATAATAATAATAATAATAATAATAATAATAAAACATCAACAATTCCTGTTATAAAATTGGAACAAAAAAATTTTGGAAAAAGACTCCAGTAGACTAATTGAAGGGATTCCTGGAAGCTCATGCCTCAAAGAGATACAAAAAATTGTTCTCACAAGTACAGCCCACACTTTACGAAGGGCATTATCTATGTAAGTTTTTTATTTTTTTTTTTTCTGTCAGTGGAAAGTGTCAATGATGCCATTTCTAACCTTAGGTCCCCTTTCTAACACGGAAAGAAATGTAAAACGCCAGATATCAAAAGAAAATAATAATAATAATAATAATAATAATAATAATAATAATAATAAATTAAAATAATAAGAAATAGAGAAAAAGAAGATAGAAGTGAGAACGGAAAATATAAACATGTAATTAAAGAGAGAAAGGAACTAAAAGTTGAACAAGAAAAACAGAAAAGAAATAAAGAAAAAGATAACAAAAGCTGAGATGTAAATATTCGTAAAGTCAAGAGAGAAAAGTAAGAAGCACAAAAAGAATAAAGAAACGTAAAAAAGGAAATTGAAACAATAAAAAATGCATGCAGATCTTCCTATCCCCACAAAGAAAGAAAGAAAGAAAGAATAAAAAGGAATGAAATAAAGAAAGAAGCTTGAACTGTAAAAAAAACGACAAAGAAATGTGAAATGTCGAAAGAAAGAAAGAAGGAAAGAAAGGAAAATAACTTAAAATGTAGAAATGAATAAAGAAAGAAAAATAGAAACTTAAAGTGAAGAAAAAAATAAATTTGAAGTGTAAAAAGAAAAAAAGAAAGAAATTTGAAATGAAGAATAAAGAAAGCAAGAAACTTAAAGTGTAAGAAAAAAAGAAAGAAATTTGAAGTGTTGAAAGATAGCAACTTTAACTGAAGAAAAAAAGAAAAATGAAATTTGGAGTTCAGAAAGAAAGAAATTTGAAATGTAAAAATAAATAATGCAAGTGTAAAAAATGAAAGCAAGTAATGTGAAGTGCTGAAATAAATAAATAAATAAATAAATAAATAAATAAAGAAAGAAAGAAAGAAAGAAAGAAAGAAAGGAAACGAAATATAAAAGAAAAGAATAACGAAAAAGTTAAATAAATGAAAAAAACATACAAAAATGAAAAAAACAAAACTGCGAGTCAAGGTTGCTACTTTGGCTTACTTCTAAAAGCCTAACATTACTAAATTTTGAATTTCGCCATTTGGGACATTTTACGCTACATTTAAAACGAGCTGGCTTAACTTGAACAATGAGAAAAATCAATCGAAAATTCAGTAGCGCTGGGCTTTCCGTTCTGGAAATTCTGAATTGAATCAATTTGGTAGAAAGCAAGGAGTTATGTGCAATCAGTTGACAAGATCAATAGCCATTCATGGCAAATAAGAAAACAAAATTATGATCGAAACAGTCTGGGATAACAAAGTGAATATGGTCTGTCTCATGGATAAGCTAGCAGCGACTTTCTGGCATTAGTACCAGTTCCAATTCAAAGCCAATATTTGGAATTATGCTTTTACAATATTTATATTATTTACCGGCATCCTACTGTCCGCATCTTTGTTGTTGTTATCACAACGTTTCGACTGTTGTACTTTCCGGCCTTCATCAGGTATTTGTCGATGCGGATAACCTCAATAAGAGTAGATAAGTTTACTTATCGCCAGTTTATCTCTTGTTTCCAGTTTAAAATGGATTTTCCGGTTCCTTCTAAAAAAAAAATGTCATCCCCAATAACCCCTTGCAAGACGCGAGCGGTATTATCGGCTTGGTTAGAGTGAAATTATTAAAAGAAAACTTCAGAGTATTTCGAACTAAATCTTATATTTAATCTACAATGTATGTGCATGTAGCGGAAGTAGATTGTTCACGTTCCGCTAAACATATCTACTCTTGTTGAGTTTTTTATTTATTACTTCTAAGTTACTGCTCGCCCTATTTTCAATGAGACGAGATATCCATAAACATGGATCCATAGATAGATTATTTTTTATCGAATTCACCTCATGCAAGGCAGTAAAGCCACTAAGACACGATGGTTCGCTGAGTGTGAAAGAATCAGAAAACAGAAACATTCTTAAAGGACGAGAACAATAGAGTAATCAGAAGACAATATATAACGAATGACATTGCACACTATTTACATCATTCGGACTATTGTCGTCATCTTTGTCGCTGTATTTATTACAACGTTGTACGCTCCGGACTTCTTCAGGTGGTTGGAATGTCGAACTGAGCCCTTTATTTCGATCACTGGGGTGGACTGTTCTAGTTTCACGTGCCATGTTTAATGGATGTCAGTTGTCAGTTATCTCCTGTTAATTCCCCTCTCCAAGTTCTCCACTGCCTAAACTGGGTATTGAACTCACACTCTTTGGGTCCTGTCACTGGATCTAACTAACGCCTTTATCCACTGTGCCATGTATCCTTGAGGTTGTAACGTTGTAATAAATATGGTGACAAAGATGAGAACAATAGTCCGAATAAATGTAAATAGCGTAATTAATATATTCATCTCAGAAATATAGACAGATACTGAATTTCATTGCATTTTATTTTTGAAGTTCAAAAATTGGTAAAAGAATGAGCCGTGATAAGGGGAAATGCGAGAAAAGAAACTATTATATAGAAATTGCATTTACATTTAAAAATTCAATACTAAATTAAATAGTTATATATATATATATATATATATATATATATTTTAAATGTGTTTATACAAATATGTGCTATGTGTTTTGCAATTTTGTATTATTTTACTTGAATATATATTTAAATATATACAAAACAAATTTTCTAATAGATTGGCGTCATTACTGATGCAACGAAGAGATGGCTGTGCTACCAGAGTTTATCGAAAAAATAAGATCGGATTCAAAAAAAATATTTATTTATGTTTGCCGAAATTAAGGAATAAAAACTGGTTAGTGTTTTCAAATTCATAAATAATATCTCTAAAAAGTTTTGATTTTGATATCCAAACATCACACAGGCGAACGCACACACACACACACACACACACACACACACACATTGAAGATATTTACTAGGTGAATTCCTCACAAGGATCGAACTCATGTGATATGATTTGCAAGATTAAATTCCTCTTCCTGTTCAAATAAAACGGAATCATTTACGATCGTTCACACAATTTGAAACACAATATACTATGTACTTCGCAAAAGAATTCTTAACCAGATATATATTTTTTACCACTGATAAGAACCATGATTAAAAATGCATATTATTATATGGAATACAGAAAATTTTTTTATATTGAGGGTTTAGAAAAACAATTGATAGTGACTCGAAATGGGTAAAATGATATTTTAATTATAATTTCGACTTCGATGCAATTATTTGAAATATTTTTTAAATACCATTATAAAGGTAAAATTCTATCTATTTTTCCATTTAAAAATCTTAAATGGATTTAAGAGAATTTACTTTTTCTCAAAATCGTTAATATAATATTCGCTATGAAAAAAAAAAATTTTCTTTGTCACAAAATATGTTTCGTTTTAAATTTTTGAATAACCCAAAAAAAGTTGATAAAATATTTAAATTAAACAGTTGTTTATCGTATATTGATTAATGTAACTTTTTATAAATTGGTTTAAAAATAATGACGTAAGAATGTCGTTTTTGATGTTAAAGATAATTTTCGACATTATTACGTTTTATTTTGACATTTTTTGATAAAAATATCTGAAATTTTTCTTAAAACTAAGTCCTATATAAAGTAATTTATATATTTTATATATATATATATATAAAACAAAGATTCCATACGATATGGTAATATTTTGGTCGGGCATTTTTGAATGTTTTTCCATTATAACTATACCAACAATATGATTATAAATCAATAAAAAGTTATTAACAGTGAATTGTTTTCTAGTGAGTCTGAATGAGTGTTGAAATTAATGTTAACGCGTGTTATTTATATTGTTTATGAATATACGCTATGCATGCATAAAAATTCAAACTTGTGTATATATTTTAGATTTAAATTGGTATACATGTAAGAATTAAATATTACATAGTGGGGAGGGGCACCAGAATTTTAGAAATACCAAAGTGGGATGTGACCCCAAATCGGTTGAGAACTACTTTTTTATACAGAAATTTTGAAAATAACGCTTTTTTATGTAACTTTTAAATAATGAACAAAAATAAATTAAAAACACATAAAATAAAAAGGTTAAAAATCATAAAAGAATACAAAATCGCAAATGATTAAATCATAATTTCGAGCTGAGATGGAATAGGATGACGTGGAGCAATTGAGTGGCCATTACGATTACCAGACCTAACACCACTAACCTTTTTCTTGTGGGGTGTATTGAACGATCATATTTTTGGCTCAAAACAAAACAACTCACGAATTAAAATAATTTCTAATAAATTTTCTGAAATTAATGTAGAAACGTGTGTCAAATGGTTTGTAGATGTTTTACTGATACGATTCAGTGTTGTATTCAACATGGAAGGGATCATTTTGAAAGTATAAAATATTTTTTTAATCATATTGTTTTGATGTGACAATACTTATAAATTTTATTAAATATCCGTAATTTGTTTTTGTTCAGTAAAAGTTAATAAATGAAAAAGGGTGTTACTTTTGCTTTACCTAACATATATATCTGTGTGTGTGTGTGTGTTTTTGTGAGTACTTTGTTAAAAAGGATAGACATTTTGTGTCTGTTCAATTTATATATCGTCTTTTCCAAAATACAAATAACCTTCCGCAATCATGGCTGCTGCAGATGCAAAATATATCCGAAATTAAGGTTGTGTTCAAGCTTTCGACTTATATGGGTCATCGTCAGGGTGGGGCGGGACAAAATTAAAGGGAAGAAAATTAGATCAGAAGTGTTTTGGGTAGCTCATTTTTGAAAGTGTCGCCATCTATCCAAACTTGTTTAAAAGACTAATTGTTATCTAATCATTCCGTATATATGGCTTGTATCATGGCAGCAAATATTTATTTAATCTAGTTTTATTGAAGATAGCAGAAATATTATGTTAACAAAGTATTTTAGGCAATTTAAAATAAAAATTCTTACGGATTAAGTTCCGTATCTTTGTGTCAAATGTATTCAGGAACATCTTAAAAACCAAAAGTAACATCACCAGACTACCCAAGTACAGAAAGTAAAAAAATTCAGAATCATAAAGAAATGCAAATCTATAATAATAAAGTGTAGTGTATGTGTGTCTGTCCGTCCGTTTTTTGATCTCGGCGAATCATAAACAACCTGACGTAACAGGTAGTAACTACTATAGTTACAGGGATTTAAAAATTAAATAAATAATTCATTTACAGTTAAATTTGGATATCGAAAAGAGTGAACGGTTTTTTTTTGTTTGTTTTTTTAAAAAAAAACACAATTCTTTATTAAAGGTTTAACTTTAATTTCGCTTTTCGTCGCAATTGCAATTGATATCGTCTAATTAAATCGTAGTTAAAACTTAATTTGAACACAGTACGTTGCTCAAGTTTTTTTCTTTTCTTTTTCTAGCACATGTACTGAGATGTATTCGAAATATTACATAGTTCAGGTTCCCTAATATCATTTAAGAGTGAATTTATGTGAAGGGATCATAAAAAATGTTGATTTTAAAAGAAAAAATTGCGCGCAAAATAAATGTAAACAAACAACGGGGATCGGTTGTGTATACGAAGAAAGATTATGCCGAAATAAGGTGTCGAATGAAGATGAAATAATTTTATTATTTCTAAATTCTCATAGCTTTTACTTACATGTGACGCTGAAGGTAAAAGGCCAAGACCCAAAAATTTTTTAATGAAAATGAATTCATTTATAGTCTTTCAAAAAAAACTTTTAGGATAATAGGATATATAATAAAGAAATTCATTCATTTTAGATTCTTTTCATTTTTTTAATCAAAATATATTATCGAATCTTAATGAGAACTAATGTGAACAGTTCCTGTAGAGAGACATCTATATTCTTAAATAGCCTAGTCCAATCAAGACTTTCATATGGATTCCATGTATGGTGCCAGACTCGTTCAGAAATATCTGAACTGTCATCTGTATACAACCACTTCCTAAGATCAATGGTTGAAAGATAAATTTAAGCGAATGAAGCCTGCTGGTTTCACCG